CTGCCCCCCCCCGGCCTCTGGGAGCCCCCAGACCACTAAGCCAAGTCTCCCATCAGCCTCCTCAGGGCGGGGGCTGGGCACCCTGCTGCAGGGAGCGGATGTCGAGAAGGAAAGGGGAGAGGACCTTGGACTGCCCTGGTGGGTTAATCTGCCCAGCCTTGGCAGCAGACACATGGACTTTGCTCTCCCTTGCCCCCAGCTCTCTCACCTCCCACGGGCTGCTGGGCTGGGTCGCCTTAGCCAAGTCTCCCATCAGCCTCCTCAGGGCGGGGGCTGGGCACCCTGCTGCAGGGAGCGGATGTCGAGAAGGAAAGGGGAGAGGACCTTGGACTGCCCTGGTGGGTTAATCTGCCCAGCCTTGGCAGCAGACACATGGACTTTGCTCTCCCTTGCCCCCAGCTCTCTCACCTCCCACGGGCTGCTGGGCTGGGTCGCCTTTCCCTCTGCAGACACCGCCAGCCCTGGCCCACGCCTGCAGGGTGGTGCTAGACCAGGGCAGGGCGGCTGTGTCTGTGCCCAGCTCGGGCCAAGCCCCGCTGGCCGGGGGGGGGGGGGGGCGGTGCCTGGACAGGGCACAGGTCAGAGGGTGCAGAGGGGAGGTTTGAGATCAGATCAGTGTGAAAATGCTACCGAGTTTCCCTTTTCTGCTCCAAGCAATGACTCATTTCTGTTGTGACCGCCAACTCCACGTTTCCAAAGATTGGAAAGCACCCTCTGGCCTTGCAGAGCAACACAGGTTTCGATAGCTCCGTCAGGCTCCTGCAAGCGGCAGCAAAGGAGGCTGGAAGAGGGGACAGGGAGCTGGAAGTCAAGGACTTGTTCTGGTTGTGCCACTGACTCGCCACAGGCCTCGGTCATGTCTCTTCACTGCTGCGCGGTGCAGGGTCCCTGCTGGACACGTCACTTCACTGCTGCGCGGTGCAGGGTCCCTGCTGGAGGAACTGGTGCTGCTTGCAGGGTGTTTTGGACGCTGTGACGAGCTTGGTGTCCGTGCTAGCCCTGGGCAGGTTCTGCTGTCAGGGTGCGCGAGCTGCTTAGAAGCTTTCTAACTGCCCAAACACTGGTGCTACCGTCCGCTCTGCCAGGGGCTCTGTTCCCCAGCTCGTGGCTGCTCATTACTCAGGAATGTCCC